AGAGAGAGATAATTTTTTCATCTTTTTGATTGAGGAAGAATTTGAATGCCTTTAATAATTTGATGCTACATGTTATACTTTCACACTCTCAAAACTTGAGCTACACACCCATGTTTACCTTAGCCTTCTGATTTTTCTCTTTTCAACTTTCAAAAGTAATGATACGAACTTCTTCTTATGGCTATTTTCGCGAATCATCTTCTCTTTCCTTCAAAGCACACTTATAATGAAGAAGATATCGCCTACAAGATTCTTCAAGAGCTTTAATTTAGAAAAACTTTACAAATTCGTTGATGAGTGCATATATCGTATTGGTTCCGCCAAGTCTCTAGAAATAGAAGCAAAGAATTTTCTCACAAGCTGCACTTGTCATCATATTCCTTTTCCAACAGCCTTTGACATTGGCTACAATGTCCATGAAGCAAGTTAACATATCTTGAATACTCTCAAACCCTTCATTTGAAATTTTCATAGTTTCTCAAACATTATAAGTTTCTCCTATTTACGGCTAATGAAGTTCGGCTTTTCATGATAAGCTTTTCAAAAGTGTTTTCCGAATTTTTGTGGCAATAGAAAAATTTTTTAACATTTTAAACATCTTCAAATAGTTAAAGATATAAAGAGCATTCATTACTTGTGCATTTAAAGAATAAGTTTTTTGTACCAGAGTGCCCACTTCTCTCTAAGAAGTGACATGATTCTCAACTACAATGGTCATAGGTTCACTATAACTAAGTCTCAACAATACTCCTAAATTTTAAAATTGGATGGACAACAAAAAGACCTTTCATGTACGGCTTTCCTAATAGGTGTAGTTTGTCCCATAAAAAAATGGGGTTGGTATGATTGCATGTCTTTTAGAAAAAGTTGTTTGGCGAGATCAAATACTTGAACATCTCTAATGCCTAGATTTATCGAAGTCGACTAAAGATGAGTAACGAGGCTCTGATACCACTTGTTAGATCTAAAAAATACAAAGCCAGAGGGGGGGTGAAAAGGATTGCTTTATTTGCTAATACAGGAATCATGTAGTGGAGATAGTATAAATAAAAAGAGATAAACAATATAAAGTAAAATCCAAAACTAAAGAGCAAACAACCTGAAACAGACATGAGTATTTTTATAGTTTGGCTTGGATTGACAATCCCTATTTTCATTCTTTCTTCCTCGCCGAAGGGGCTCACTCACTATGTAAGAGTTCACAATGAATTACAAATCTCGATTCAGTAAGCTTATAAGACACATCTTGTAATATAGCTTGAAGACCAGGGCCATTAAGCGGCTAACCCATAATGAGTAACTGCGGCTAGCGCCTAGGTAGTACCACTCTTATTCACCGCTTGAGTATAGTCAAAGAGTTCAAAAGTAAAACTCAACATAAGCAATTAAGCTTAAAATAGCAAGAAAGATCTTATCTCTTGCTAGTTAATAACAAACGGTCCCTTGAAGGATATAAGCGTAGCTCAATGAAGAATGGTGAAAAAGAATCAATCTTAAGGACAACTCTTCTTGCTAAAACAATTACGGCAGATGTTTTATGCATGATGAGTGAGAATTTGAAGAGGCTTTAGAGAAGATCAACAATCTTCACTTGATCTCTCAGCAAATCAAAACTTAATGAACTCCTCATTTTTTCCTCATCTGCTTTAATGATATAAACCGCCTAATATGTTAGGAAAAAGATATCGCCGAAACTTGAATGAGTTGGCAGATATATACATAATGAATAATTGAAATTAAATCTAAAAAAAATCATGCAATCATTTTGTAATTATTATCGAGTGGCGCCTCTCGACCATCGATGATGTCCATGACGCCGTTGATGGACAAGAGCCGCACGCGATGATATGAAAGTCGCTATAGAATAAAAATATTTTGATGATGCATGTTGGACATCAATTAGCTCTTCTTATCATCAATAGTCAAATGCGTACCATCAAAATGGTGGAAAGGCTGAACTCAGCTTTTGAGGCTGAATTTCCGCATTGTTTTCGCGCTCAAATAGGAGATATTGTAAGGACTACATCCTACATAAAAAGTTTGGTGTACAGAAAATGCTTTAGGGATATTAAGTAAAAAAAAGATATAAATTTAGGGTATTGAATTGTGACTTGTTGGTCGATTGGTTTGGGTTGGGGGGTTACGGTTTAGTGGAAGCAGAACTAAAGCTAAACTAGGATAAATTGTGCGATGGGATTTTAACGTTTAGCTCACTTAGAACTAGAACTAATGTTAGTAAACTAAAAGTAGAAAGCATAATAGAAGCTGGGATAAGGGTAAAAAAATTATCCCCATTTTTCCATTCCTGTAAAGTGAGAATTCAATCTCTCAAATTATTCCAAGTTTCAAAGCTAGAACTACTTGGTAAAGAAAATAGAAGCTCTCCTTAATTTATTTCTATTATTTATTTCTATTATTTTTTATTTCTCCATCCTCACTCTTCATCTAATGGTCATGATATCATCTGATTGGATGCTATAGATAGGCCGGCCTTCTGCCCTCTACTCTGGCTCTTTATATGTTGTTTTCTTTTTACCTGAATTATTAAAATTATATATTTATTTAAGAAAAGTCATGAATCCATAAATTTGTTAAAAAATATTAAAATTGAGATAAGTAGAGCAAGAGGATTTGGGCTATAAAGGAAGGAAGTAGAAAAAGCGTTACCTTGTTAGACTGCTACTATAATAATTCACAAAAATAAAATAAAAAAATATATTATAATAATTATTACAATATATATGTATTCTAACTAAAGTAATTCAACTAATGATAACATTATATTAAATTAATCTAATTAATAATAGAGTTTAAAATATAAATAGTAGTTATAGTCATCAAAAATTTATAAATAATATACTTCTTGATTATCACAAATTTTATCCACATTATTTTATCAACATATTGCACTTCAAAAGTTATTCCAAATTATCCACTAAAATATTCCAGCTTTTGAAAAATTGTGCACTTTAAACATTATTCTACCTGCTTGTGAAAATATGTTCCAATTGATTAAGACTCTAAGAAAAAATTGTGGATATCAAATTTAAAAATGGTGTATACTTTAGCATAGCCAAAAGTAAGCATAACTAAAATGATTTTCTAGAGCCGGCAGCATAAAAGGCTTGTAGTTACGGCCTGAGGGAGCTGTTTGGTTTGCAGCAAATGAGCCAAGAATTATGTTCCCGCCGTGCTAACAATCTAATCATGCAAAGCAGAAAAAAAATGGGTAGGAACTTTTTTTCTTAATGTTGCGGTTCACAATAAAAAAGTGGGAAATGGGCTAGGCAAACCCCTTATAGATCAACAAAAATGGGAAACATCCATATTCGGCTCAAAATGAACGAAATTAGATGAAACCCATCCGCGCTCTCATATATAGGCCCGCCACCTCCCGCCCCCCCACCTGCACCCCTTGGAAAAAAAATAAAGCTAGGGTTACCTGCCTTACTCTCCTGCCAGTTAGAAATTTGCTGCTTCTTTCTCATAAGCCTTCTTCATGGCACTACTTTGCTTCCTTTGGTTCGCCTTCTTTCCTCGTCTTCTTCTTCACCCCGGGGCAACGCTTTTGCGCTTGTTGCCTAGTTACCCATAAGATCCTAAACTTTGGTACTTTTTTTATTCTTGATTTTGTGGTTAGGTATGAAATTTGTGTTTTAATTGTGTTTAGGAGATTAGATGACAGCTAGTATATCTTTTGGAGCCCTATGAGCTGTTTGTGTTCTTCACAAATGAGAAGTGGGGAAATTTTGGTATCTTTTGCATTTTAATATTTTCTAGGCCTAATTTGGTCATTGTGTGTTTGATTTTTGCCATGGTCTTCACTGTAGTTTGATCTTTGCAGTTTTGCTATTTTCTTCGCTAATTCGTGCAGCAAGTGGGAAAGTCTTTGGAATTGTGTTTTTTGGTGTTTGATCTAGTCGCGAACTTGGTATAAATTTAAGGCAGCGTAGTTGATTAATTTTAAATCTAACTTCCATACAATGCATTGGGGTTTTCCCTATATTGATTACTGGACTTGCAATAAGATCTATTAAGATGACTTTTAGTGATAATAATGAACGCTACATATAAAATGTAGTCTGAGACTTTTTGATTTTTTCATATCATATGAGTTTGTTATGAGAATCAGATTATTTATAGGTTTCTATGAATTTTCTTCTAATTTAAGGTGCATAGTTCAGACGAGTTAATGTTTAATACGTATTATTTATAGGTTTGGATTCAAGATATTTCATGTCATAATGAGTTGTTTATTATTATAGTGAATCGGTTTCTTTTATAGAATTTCATATGAATTTTTTGGCTACTCAGGTGTGTAGTTTCATAACAGGTTATACAGGCAATCATGTTATTGTAGTGTTTCATATAATTTTCCATGTCAGCAAGGGTATTTATAATGAATCATGTTAATTTACAGGTTTTTATATATTATTTTAACACTTTTCTTTTGGTATTATATTCCTATCCACAGCATAACGGTCACAAATAAATTTGGTCATTTAGTGAGATGGTAAGCATTACTGTAGCCTGACAAACTTCAATACGGCAAACTAAACCATAAGAAAAGTGTAAAAAGTCTAAATAACGCAATAATTTTCCCTATTTGTTAAATACTGCAAATGAAAAAAGTAGAACTAATTTCCACATAATTTTTTTAATATGTGAACCAAACACGGCAACCAACAACACAGGGTGGGTTTAGAATAACTATTTTATGAAGTTTTCCCGTGATGTTTCTTTAAAGAACACCATGGCAATTGTGTTTTATCCCAAAGTGGTTTTTGAAAAAACGCATTTGATTTTCATTTGGTGCAATACTTAGTTTGACTATTTCCATACACATATATTATATTATAATAATATCATATTACGAAATAAACATATATGTTTATAACATATTTTTGTATTAACTAATATAAATATATCCTATTGATATTAGCTGAATATTATAATATAGACAATATAA